ATACATAACATTGGTTCAACTAACACAAATATGTGAAAGGAACTCCACATGTTAATATTCGCCTTTGATTCATCACATTTAAGTAAGCTGAGCATTAAATTACAAAAGGTTAAGAGGACACTACATCTGTAGGTACATCTTACAAGTACATAATGAAGCAAATTTTACACTCAGCAGATCACGTTAGCTTAAAATTTAGAATGAATTACCTCTTATAAAAATTAAAGGTGACATTATTTTGAGGGCTTCTCATAGACTTTTTATTATATTTTAATTTTAATATAAGTAATGAGTATTTTAAGATATACAAGCAATTTACAATTTTAAAATATTTTAACTTGCTTTAAAATTAAAATATAATGAAAAGCCTATGAGAAGCCTCAATAATAATGTTACCTTTAATATTAATAAGCGGTCAATTCACTTTAAATTTTAAAATAACTGAGTTTAATGAGCATAATATTTGCTTTGTTACGCACTCGTAAGACAGAGACAACACATACAAGTGTAGCGTTTTCTTAAGTCGATACTGAAAGTATATAAATTTAAAACTAATATTTTAATAATTGGAAAAAGTATATATGCATTTATAGATTATAAAGTATATCATTATTTTAATAAATTCCTAATTTTAAAAGCGGGAAAGTGGATGTAGCTCTGCTGTACGGTAGGTACAAGTGGGTAATTGTAATGGATGGAATTATATTTGAATCCAATGACATTATATCATTGTATACGAAAAACGATTCTAAGCGGAAATGGTTTATCTGTCTAGGATATATTATAGATTATTAAAAATTTTCATATCTTAGATATAAAAGGAAAATTTTTTATGAATTTCTGGCATAAAATAATTTACGAAATTTCGTGATTTTTACATAATGTGTTGTCAAAATAAATTTAAACTTTAAATGCTTATAAAAAAAAATGAGACTAAATATTTCTTTTATTTTTCAACTGCTATTGTAAAAATATGTTAGGAGCCATGAAAATTATATAAAATATATAAAATGCCTAAATAAACATACAGTGAAAATTTCAAGTATCCGCGGTCATTTGTTTTAGAGTTATACCAAAATAAGAAAATCGCTAAATGTGAAATCCAGTGAAAATCCAATGTTGTAAAAATTTAAATTTCAAATGCT